TAGAAACGTCTGACCTGAGAAAGCTTGGGGGTGGTCTTTTGGAGGTACAATTAACATGCCAAGTTAGAGGCAATACTTTGTAGGTATATGTCACCAATAGGAAGATTACATGAGACCAGGAACCAAGGTTTGAAAGCTGGAGTAGCTTAAATACCATCACTCCCAGTGATCCATTGTGTGACTTTGTGCTCTGCAAACTTTGTGGTCCTATTTCCCTAAACTGGCACATTCTTGCCAGGACACATAGCAAGGGTTCCTTTAGCCTATGAGTTATAGCTGTGCAATTTTATTTTCTGCATTGGTTAGTGCTGTGTGGGACAGACTAGTCACCAAAGCTGCACTGTCCCAACTGGAATGAATCAGAGGTTATTGATTATGGTTTTCTCTAATGATGAGGTCTGTGAACTCTGTTTAATAAAGGGAATATCATTAATACTGTTCAGATTTTAAATATTTTTAGGAATTTTGTCTAACACTGCCCATAATCACATTTCCCTCACTCAGGTGGTACTTTGAATTTGAGTGGGCATGTGATTTTGGCAATTTCCACTTTTAGGACAAAAACGTTGAATTTCTGCTAGGGAAGGGAGGGAAAGCTCACAATGCCCACTCCACCCCAGCTCACCATTGCTGACCAAACTGGTTTCCCTGCAACATTATGTTGAATGATGTAGAAAAGGTTCATGACTATGCTAAATAATTGCAGGTCTTACCACCTCTAGAGTCACTAAACATTTATGACTCTAGTTGGATATGGAGTCTTTGTGTCATTTCCATTGGCTGTCACTATGCATGACTGCTATATAGGCAATGTAAATGGTTTGATGTGTAGACAAAGCACAAACACTTGAAAACATCAAACAAGTTTTACTCTCATAAAGAACACAAAAAAATGTCAGGATAAATGGCAGAAAGGCCAGCAACATTCTCCAGGACCAAGAGGGTGCAAACCTCCTAGTACTAAACCTCACTAGCAGATATATGGTTGCAGAGGTTACGGTATAAGTGAATGAAGGCCTAGAAGCATATCTGTCTTCCTCTGAACAGTTATATGCTGGAGTATTCCTACATGTATGTAGTATAGACATTAGTGAATGAAGGCCTAGAAGCATATCTGTCTTCCTCTGGACAGTTATATGCTGGAGATTACCCTACCAGGGCCAGGAGCAAGCATTTCAAGTTTCAGAGTTTTACAATGCAGAATAGAATACATGTCAATGAATGAACCAAATGCTCACCTATCATTCCAGACTATCGAGGCCAGAATATCCTGGTCCAAGTACATTCCTGATCTCAATGCCATGGAAACAGAATAAGAGTAATTTTCCCTGACATCTCCAAGATTCATGCTAATAATCCCTTATGCTAGCTGAAGGAGTCAACCTGTGATTTGTGTAATAAATATAAAAATAAAAATTCTAAGCACATAGGGTGTGTGGCTCTGAGAGAGCTGGAGATGATACTGAGAACAAATTGGGAACAAATTTTATTGGGAAATAAAACTTAAGCAGACATTCTATTCCTTTGATCACATGATGATATGAAAGACATCCATAGACTGAGTTTTAGTGCCATTATTACTCATGGTGTTTCAGAATAATAAAAATTTTAATAAAAATAAGTTTATAATGAGAATGTTCTGTCATTTGAATCAGTTACAGAAATCCAATTCAAAATAACCTAAGAAAAAGGAAAAGTTACTTGATGGAAATAGGACATAATTTGGAAAAAAATTATGTGAAAGGTTGGAATAAATGTAGGTATCAGAGACAACAGCCTTTTATTGCTTCTCTCTGTTTTTATTTCATCCTTTTCTTCTATTCAGTCTGATAAGTAGCTTCAGAGATTTACATATTAAAACTTTAGCTACTGAGTAGAACCTTCCTTGAATGTCTGTCTGTATCCCTAAACCCAAGATTATAATTGGGCTGAGCTGTGGTTAGTGGACCATCCCCAAACGAGGGAGATGGCAGCTTTTATGGTAACCTGTGGATATGGAAAGGTGATAAAAGAGAAGCAGGAAAGAGATGGGAAACAATTTTTAGAAAAATGAGAGTTTAAGGAAATATAATCTATATATAATACATACATATATATATCTACACTAATAAAAGAGAAACATGCAAATTGGTGTCACTCTGCTACGCCCACCAGCCAATCAGAGCAACTATGCAAATCAACCCAACAAAGATGGCGGTTAATTTGCATATGCAGGCACGGAGCGAAGACTGAAGGCTCCAGCCAGACTGAAGACTGTAGACTGAAGAGGCTTGGTTTCTCCACTGCGGCTGGACCAAAGGCCTGGGTCCTGGGTGCCGGAGGAAAACCGGTGCCAGCAGCCAGGGGAAGGAAGGCCTATTGGGTGAATCTTCATGCAACGGGTGTCTAATATATATATATATATGAAACCTAAGTGACCGTTCGACCATTCAACCTGTAGCTATGATGCGCACTGACCACCAGGGAGCAGATGCTTAATGCAAAGGCATGGAAACATGGAAAAGACTGATGAGTCTCAGAGGGAGGGGGAGAGGAGGGAGGGCGGGAAGAGATTAACCAAAGATCTTATATGCATACTAGATGCCTGGTGCATGGATTTGTGTACCAGTGGGGTCCCTCAGCATGGCCTGCAGGGATCAGGCCAAAACCAGCTCTGTGACATCCCCTGAGGTGTCCAGGATTGCAAGAGGGCGCAGAGCAGGCAGAGAGACCCCACCGGTGCACAAATCCATGCACCAGTCCTCTAATAACATATAATGCATCCATAACGTTTAGGGTGGAACTAGCCTATAGCAGAATTTCTTGATCTCTGCACTATGGACATTGAACCAGATAATTTTTTGCTCTGGGGCTGTCCTGAGCATTGTAGGATGCTTAGCAGCATTCCTGCCCACAGATACCAACAGTACCTTTCTGGTCATGAAAATAAAAAAATGTTTCCAGATATTGCCAAATGTCCCAGGGTGGGGGAGGGGAGTAGCAAAATTGTACCCTGTTAACAGCCACTGGCTTAAGGCAATCATAATCCATGAAATTGCCTGGAGAGTATGTTAAAGAGTAGATGTAGAGATGTAGAAGTTAGTCATATTGGGAATTGAACATGGTATCTCGAAGAATTTCTACTTATGCATCAGAATGTTCAGAAGTTAATTTGTCCTCTGTCCTAAGTTGAACCACTTCACAAATCCAAAGTCAGTTGTTTTTTTTTTCATTTAAAAAATGGAAGCAATACTAACTCCATAGGGTACTTTTGAGTATAAAATAATTATGTGAAAACATTTTAGAAGCTACGAAGTGGTATATGAATATAAAATAATAATTTTTAAAAATAAAATCACTATGATAACCAGCCCTTTTATCTTCCTAAGGATATTATATTTCTTAAGAGTCTGGGGAGAAAAGAGGTTTGCCAGGGCTGACCAGCAGCCCCGGAGCGACAGATGAATGGATTACTCCGACACTGTGAAGAGAGGCTAAGGGACTGGCTATAGCAACAAGACAGCCTCAATTGCCTGCCTCAAGGCCTTTATTGAAGTTTTTATCTTTAGATACAATGAGTACGGTGGGTAATCTTGGGAGGACACATGAGTTTGTATTATCCTCAAGGCAAGGGCACCCAAAGATTAGGCATAAAGATTCCAGTAAGCATCCAGGGGTCTGCACGTGCACAGACTTGTTTGGAAACGTCAAGGAATAATTAGGGGCACCCCCTTTGACACTCCCCTACATCGGAATTCTGATAAACAGGGCAGGCGGCCTTCCACACACTTCCCTTTTCTCAGAACGTCCTCCTTACAAACTTTCCAACCACGTCTCATGTGCTCCCCAACAGAGGCTGACTTCATATATACAGAATAGAGTTCATTAACATACAGTTTATACCATTTGATGTATTTTGCTATGTTAGGTGTTTTTATTCAGTTCATTCATTAGTATTAGCTGAAAATAGTTAATTTATATTACTAATTTATGCACTTTTACTATACTTTTAAAAAATGTTTTTATTGATTTCAGAGAGGAAGGGATAGGGTGAGAAGGATAGAAACATCAAAGATGAGAGAGCCTCATTGATTGGCTGCTTCCTGCATGCCCCCCACTGGGGAGTGAATCCACAATCTGGGCATGTGCCCTGACCAGTAATGGAACAGAGACCTCCTGGTTCATTGGTGACCTCCTGGTTCACGGATTGAGCTCAACCACTGAGCCACACCGACTGGGCTTTACTATACTACTTTGAATTAACTACAAGAAAATAATTATTTTTAAAGTTTATTTTATCACCTAAACTCAAAAGCAGTCAGATTGCTCAATTGTAACTAAGTAAGCCTTTGACATTTATTAGCACTTGGTGGCAACAAATTATTTAGCCTAATAAAGAATTACAGCAAGGCTTTAATGAAAGATTGAACATAAAGTAGAATAATAAGTTCATCTCCTAACAGCTTATACAAGTACCACTTAAACCATTCCAAACATATATATTACAAAAATAAATAATATTTGATGCCCTGACATCACATGGAGAATATCACCACCACCACAATCACCATTACTAATAACAACGATGATAGTAATGATAAAAACAACAAAACCGAAAGTTATCTATTAAATGGTTGTCTTAAAGTTGGAATGGTCTTGAATACTTCACGGGTAAATCTTAATGCTTGAGAAATTTATTAACACATGTTAAAAATCTTAAAAACAGAGATAGAAACATATTTAGAAAATGGGAATTTTCTCCTTTATCAGGACAACATAGTGAGATCTTAGTATTTCTATCATCACTTCTATGTTCTTAGTTCCCAAGAGCTTACCTTCCCATACTTACTAATAAAGTACATGTTTTTGTTTGTTTCTTTGTTTTTCAAATTTAAATTTGTTGAATAAGTATGAGAAGAGAATAAAAGGTATTGCAATAGTGGCTTGTAAATATTTTTTTATTTGAACTCAAAAAAAAATGTTGCTTTTTGGTATTATACTTTTGTCCTATGATGGTGGTAATATCTTATCCTTCATCTTCCTAACCCTCGTCATCTTCATCCTCATCCTCATCCTCATCCTTCTCCTCCTCTTCTGATTTCTCCTCCTCCTCCTCCTCTTCTTCTTCTTCTTCTTCTTTCTTTGCCTCCTCTTCCTCCTCCTCTTCTTCCTCTCTTTTTGTTACCTCAGGGGGAAATGTCATCTGTTCTTCCGTTAATATATTTGGAAAATAAGACTGTACTATCAAAACAATTGTGGCACATAATGTAAAACTTAGTGTTCTCAAAAAGAAAATTAAGAAGCAGAGTGGGTCACACACAAGTGGCCGGGGCACTTCCCATCTTGGATACCAAAAATTATAATCTGTCAATAAAAAAGCAATTGAAAGCTGGATTGCACATAAAGTAGTTAAATTGTTCAAGAAATAAAGGACAACAATACATACATATGGCTTCCTCACGATCTGCATTGCCTAGGGGGGAAAAAAAGGAAGTCAATAAAGAATGACATATATTTTGTCTTTCTCTAAAATATAAAATATTTTTTCCAAAAATAATGACATCATTTTCCTAGCTCTCAGGCATCATACTATTATTATATTTGATTTCTGCTGTCCCACCAGCACCCAACCATAAAGTCCAATATATCTTCTTTTAGTAAAAGTCAGTCTGGCCTGCTACAGATAGCATGAAAGTATAGGAAGAGATGTGAATTCTAGAACTAATTCTGTCTCTAAATCATTGTCATCTTATATAAATCACTATATATATATCTGTTTGCTTTCTCAAGATTGTCATAGTATCAGTAACTTAGGATTCTACAACATTTCTTATTTTCATCTCTCCCCTACACTGATCATTGCAAATTAATCTTCAGAATCTACTCACTTTCCTCATGGAATCTTTATTTTCAGAAGCTTTCAGTTGCTCTTCATTTCCTAGCTGGCAAAGTTAACTTTATAGTTTGGTTTTTGCTATCTAGCCCAAAGCTGTCATAATACCTTTCAGGAAATAAATTTTCTTTCCTCTGCTCACCTGGGCATAGAAAGTCAGATAACCTTTCCTGGATTCCACTAGGAAAAAGAGTGGGAGGATAAATGAGTTCTCACACATAGAGGGCACAGTGGCAACCTGGGGCTTGTCTTGCAATGATAAAACCCTTAGAGGAAAATTTAGAAATCACTATTCCGGCACCTGCGAGATGAACCAATTTTCTGCTGGATCTTTGAGATTATTTCAATCTTTTGTGCTTGGTCATGTTTATTACTATGTATTTTATGTAAAAATTTCTATTTTACAGCTCATTTAAAATATTTTACCATATAGTCTATATATTTTTTCAAATTTATTCTGTGTATGTGTATCTATCAATTGCTTAGAATAAACAATGATGTAATTAGTACATTTCTTTTTTGCATCTTCATTTCTCATCACCAATTTTTATTGATTACATTCTTCTTTTACTTTTGCACTTGATCAAATATTTAAGTACATTTATACTTACATCTTGTTTTTTTTCTTTATTTTTCCCCATCACCACTTATATGCCCTCTACACTCTTCCCCCTCCCTCCCACCCTCCTTGCAATAATCTCCATACTGTTGTCTGTGTCCATGAGTTCTTTCTCTCTTTTTTTTCTCAATTCCCCCACTAACAACCCTCCTTCCAAGCTGTCAGCCTGCTTTCTATCTATGAGTCTGCCTCTATTTTGCTTATTAGTTCAGTTTGTTCATTAAACTTCACATATGAGTGAAATCATATGGAACTTATTTTTTCTGACTGACTTTTTTCACTCAGCATAATGTTTTCCAGTTCCATCCATGCTATTACGAAGGATAAAATTTTCTTCCTTTTTAAAGCTGAGTAGTATTCCATTGTGTAAATGTACCATAGCTTCCCCGCCCCCCCATATATTTTTATTATTGATTTCAAAGAGGAAGGGAGAGGGTGAGAGAGAATCATTGATTGGCTGCCTCCTGCCCGCCCCACACTGGGGATTGAGTTCACAACCTGGGCATGTGCCCCAACCAGGAATCGAACCCTGACCTCCTGGTTCATAGGTTGATGCTCAACCACTGAGCCCTGCCAACCACTGAGCAATGCTGGCCAGGCTACCATAGCCTTTTTATCTACTCATCTTCTGAGGGGTACTTGGGCTGCTTCCAAATCTTGACTACTATAAATAATACTGCAATTAACATATATTATTTTAAATTAGTGTCTTGGGTTTCTTCAGCTAAATTCCAAGAGGTGGAATTTCTGGGTCATAAGGCAGTTCCTTTTTTTTTCTTTTGAGGTAACTCCATACTGCTTTGCACAGTGGCTGCACCAATCTGCATTCCCACCAACAGTGTACAAGGGTTCTCGTTCCTCCACATCCTTGACAACCCTTGTTTGTTGATTTATTGATGATAGCCATTCTGACAGGTATGAGGTGATATCTCATGGTTTTAATTTTCCTTTCTCTGATGATTAGTAATGTTGGGGATGGGTTTATTTCTGGGCTCTCTATTTTGCTCCATTGATCTATATGTTTGTTTTTATGCCAGTACCATGCTGTGTGTGTGTTTTTTTAAATTATCTTTATTGTTGAAAGTATTACCAATGTTCCTTTTTCTCCCCATTGACGCCCTCTACCCAGCCCTGCGCCCCCCCCCCAGGCCTTCCCCACACTATTGTCTGTGTCCATGGATTATGTGTGTCTGTGTGTGTGTGTGTGTATATATATATATATATATGTTTAAGTTCTTTGGCTAATCTATCCCCTCCCCCCACCATCCCTCTGAGATTTGTCAGCCTGTTCCATGCCTCTATGTCTCTGGATCTATTTTTTTTATCAGTTTATTTTGTTCATTAGATTCAACATATGAGTGAGATCATGTGATACTTATCTTTCTCTGACTGGCCTATTTTGCTTCATGGTGTCTCAAAGGGTAAGAAATCCTTCTTCTTTATAGCTGCACTAGAGGCCCAGTGCACGAAATTTGTGCATGGGTGGGTTCCCTAGGCCTGGCCAGCGATCAGGGCCAATTAGGTTCCCTGCCTCCCAGCCTCCTCCTTCCCTCACCGCCTGTGTCCACCACCACCCATGCCCAGTTCCCTGTCCCAGCATGGGGCCTGGTCCTGATTGGGTGATCAGGACCTGCTGGCCAGGGGGAGGGACTGGAAGGTTGGCCAGCAGGCCCCAATCAGGGCCTGCTGGCTGGGGGGAGGGATAGGGGGAGGGACCCAGTAGGTTGGCCACCGGCCGAGGAGGGAGCTGGCCCTCAGCCCCCCTGAGAAATGGGCCGCGTCTGCCACCACCCACCCTTGGTTTCCTGTCCCAACCCAGGGGCCTGGCCCCAATTGGGCAATTGGGGCCTGCCGGCTAGGGGCAGGAACCAGCAGGTTGATTAGCAAGCCCACTGGCGATCAGAGCCTGTGGGCTGGGGGCAGCTCCTGCATTGAACGTCTGCCTCCTGGTGGTCAGTGCACATCATAGTGACTGGTCATTCCAGTCGTTCTGTCGTAGCTATCTATATATATAGGTAGTATTCCATTGTGTAAATGTAGCACTTTTTTATCCACTCATCTGCTGATGGGCACTTGGGCTATTTCCAGATCATAGCTATTGTAAATTGCACTGCTATGAACATAGGGGTGCATATATTCTTTCTAATTGGTATTTTAGGTTTCTTAAGATATATTCCTAGAAGTGAGTTCGCTGGGTCAAATGGCAGTTCCATTTTTAATTTTTTGAGGAAAATCCATACTGTTTTTCATAGTGGCTGTTCCAGTCTGCATTCTAACCAGCAGTGGATGAGTGTTCCCTTTTCTCCACAACCTCAGCAGCACTTGTCATTTGTGGATTTGTTGATGATAGCCATTCTGACAGGTGTGAGGTGATACCTCATTGTTGTTTTGATTTGCATCTCTCAGATGATTAGTGACTGAGCATTTTTTCATCTGTCTCTTGGCCATCTATATATCCATTTTGGCCCTTTGCCTATTTTTGATTCAATTTTTGTCTTTTGTTAAATGGTATGAGTTCCTTAAATATTTTGCAAATTAACTCCTTATCAGATATATCATTGGGAAATATGTTTTCCCATACAGTGGGCTTCCTTTTCATTTTGTTGTTTCTTTTGCTGTGCAGAAACTTTTTATTTTGATGTAGTCCCATTTTTTTAAATTTTCTCCTTAGTTTCCCTTACCCTAGGAGATGTATTGGCAAACATACTGCTATGTGAGATGTCTGAGATTTTGCTGCCTATGGTTTCTTCTAGGATTTTTATGGTTTTATGACTTAAGTCTTTTATCTATTTTGAGTATGGTATAAGTTGGTGGTCTAATTTCTTATTTTTGCATGTACCTGACCAATTTTCCCATCACCATTTTTTGAAGAGACTGTCTTTATTCCATTTATGCTCTTGCCTCTTTTGGGTCAATTTCTGGGGTCTCTGTTCTGATCTATATGCCTGTTCTTGAGACAGTACTAGGCTATTTTGAATACAGAGGCTTTGTAGTATAACTTGACATCTGGAATTGCAATCCCTCCAACTTTGTTCTTTCTCAAGATTGATGTGGCTATTTGGGGTCTTTTTTGGTTTCATATAAATTTTTGGAATATTTGTTCTAGATCTGGAAAATATGCCATTGGTATTTTAATAGTAATTGCAGTGAATCTATAGATTACTTTAGATAGTATAGACATTTTAATAATGTTAAGATTCCAATCCATGAACACAGTATATATATTTTCACTTATTTGTATCTTCCTGAATTTCTTTCTTCAATGTTTTATAGTATCTGAATACAGGTCTTTTACCTCAAATTCATTCCTAGGTACCTTATTTTCCTTGTTGCAGTGGTAAATGGGATTGCTTTCTTGATTTCTCTTTCTGATAGTTTATTATTGGTATATAGAAATGTCACTTATTTCCTTATTTCTGAATATTAACTTTTTATCCTACTACATTGCCAAATTCATTGGATCTAGTAGTTTTTTGGTGGAGTCTTTAGGGTTTTCTATGTGCAATATCATGTCATCTGCAAATAATGACAGTTTTACTTCCTTCTTTGCAATTTGGATGCTTTTTATTTCTTCTTGTCTGATTTCTGTGGCTAGGACTTCCAGTACTATGTTGAATAAGAGTATGAAAGTTTACATCCCTGTCTTTTTCCTGATCTTAAAGGAAATGCTACTAGTTTTTGCCCTCTGAGTATGATGCTGTCTGAGGGTTTGTCATATATGGCCTTTATTACATTGAGGTATATTCCCTCTATTCCCACTTTGCTGAAAGTTTTTATCATAAATGGGTGCTGGATTGGCTCTCCCTACTGGGATCATGCCTCAGCCTTTCCCTTCCACCCTCTCCCTTTCTTTCCCCATCTTTCCCCCTTTACCTTCCTCACTCCCTAGCTCATAGGTCCTTCGTTTTCCTCTACAACTTGTTTCCTAAGCCCATTTCTTCTATGAATAACTTCTTCTACCTCTGTGATTTTCCAAATAAATGTTCTCTTATAGCTTGAAAAAAAGAGTGCTTTCTCTGCTTCTATTAATATGATCCTGTGGGTTTGTTTATGTGGTATCATGTTTATTGATTTGTGGATATTTTATCAGCCTTGTATCCCCAGAATAAATCCCACTTTATCATGGTATATGATCTTTTTAATGTATTGCTGGATCAGGTTTGCTAATATTTTCTTGAGGATTTTAACATCTATGTTCATCAGGGATATTGGCCTATAATTTTCTTTGTTGTGTCTTTATCTGGTTTTGGAATTAGAACCATGCTGGCCTTGTAAAATAAGCATGGGAGTTTTTCCTTCTCTTGAATTTTTCAGAAGAGTTTGAAAAGGATAAATGTTAGTTTTTCTTTGAATGTTTGGTGTAATTTACCTGTGAAGTCATCTGGTCCAGGACTTTTATTTGTAGGGAGTTTTTCGATTACTGCTTCAATTTCATGGGTTGTAATCTGCCTATTCAGATTTTCTGATTCTAGTTTTGGAAGATTGTATCTTTCTAAGAATTTATCCATTTTCATCTAGGTTGTCCAATTTGTTGGCATATAGTTGTTCATAATACTTTCTTGCAATTCCTTGTATGTCTTTGGTATCACTTGTTACTTCTCTTTCAATTCTGATTTTATTTGGGCCCTTTATTTATTTGGGACCTGATGAGTCTGGTTAAAGATTTATCAATTTTGTTTATCTTTCCAAAGGACCAGCTCTTGGTTTCATTGATTTTTGTATATTTTACCCTTTGGTCTTTGAGAAGTGTCTTCCAGTGTTTTTGTATGTCAAGAATTCTTAATCTTTGGGTTTCCCCCCATCCCATACCTTGAATCCCTTATGCTATTCTTTATTCTACTTTTTTTTATATTTATGGTATCTTTTTTCCAAGAGTATGCAAATATTAGTTAGTATTCATTATGTATTTTAGGTGGTATTTTTGTTTTAGGTGGTCTCTTTTTTAAGCCAGGTTGTAATTAACATATAGTAAAATCTGTCCTTTTTATGTGTACAGTTCAATGCATTTTGTCATGTTGTTGAGCATCCTTATAATTATTACTCTGAACTCTATATCTGATTAATTGCTTACCCCCATTTCAATGAGCTCTTCTGGAGAATTCTCTTGTTTTTCATTTGGGGCCTCTTTCTTTGTTTCTCCCTTTCTGCTGCATTTTTCTTTTTGTTTTTTGTATTATGTAGATCTGCTATGAACCCCAGTGTTGCCTTATATAGTAGGTGACCTGTGGGACCAAGTGATGAACTATTCCTGATCACCTGAGCTGGACGTACCGAGAATGTCCCTTGTGCATGTTATGTGGGCCCTCCTTTTGTAGTTAAGTCTTGATTGTTCTTAGCCAGTTTGTGTGTGGGATTGACCCTCAGACTATCTGACTGTGAGGCTCAACCACTGGACACAGCATGCAAGCTTTTCTGCAGGTGCTGATCACCTGGAGTGAAATGTACCTCAGCAGGGTTTGGACCTGCTGAGATCTCCCTATGGATATGCTGCTTGTGAAGCTTATTGGATCGTACTCTGTTGTCTGAATCTGGTCACTGGATGTATTGGTTCTGGGCCTCTTCAGAAGGACTCTGGCCAATGCCAGGTGTTGTCTATGACTGGCCCTGGGCAAACTGTTTGGAGCTATCAGTGATCCACAGATTGTGGCTCCCTCTTCTGGGCCTGGATGCATGTGGAAAGACCAAGCTGCCCACCAAGGTCTGCTTTGACTAACAATGGGCCCAGGGACAGATCAGCAAGAAATCTCAACACATCCAGACATCAGCCTCTGTCTGCAGTCTGTCTGTTAGGCTTACTTAAAGATCCTCTAGTTGTACTCTTCACCAGGGTGTAGGCTCAGGGTGGGGTGAGAGGGATTCCAAGGTGGGGCTATTTCTTTCTCCCAGGCTGATGTTCCATGGAGGGGAATGCTCTGCTTGAGAAAGATGGCTCTTTCAGTACGGGGGAATCACTTAGCACAGGGATCCCAGCGGCGACCTCTCAGTTCTCTTGCCACCAACTCCAGACCCTCCTCATGCACCTCTAGTCCACTCTGCCCTCCCTCCGCCAGAGCCCAGGGTGAGTGGCTATGAATGAAAATTTTGTGTGTTGGCCCCTTAAGGGTTTGCCTATGTTTTTAGCTGTCTCTCCCTGGTGGACAAAAACACCACCACTTTTCACAGACAGATGTTGTGTAGGCTCCTTTCCTGGTTCTGGAGCTCTGGGCTGGGGAGACCCACTTGGGGTTTAGACCCCAAACTTCTCAGAGGGACCTTCCCCCAACACAGGCAATATATCCCTCCAAAACTTCAGCTGCTGACTGTGAGTGTCCACCCAGCCCTTTTGTGCTTCCACACCTCCTACCAGTCTCAATATGGCCTCTTCTGTAAATCCTTGATTTTAAGGTTTCTCTCCAGCTAGTCTTCAGTTGGCTATTCAGGATTATTTTTTCTATACTTTAGTTGTAATTCCAGTTTGGTCCTGGGAAGAGGTGAGTATAACTTTTAGCTAATCTGCACCATGTTGGATCCTCCACATCTCTCTTGTTTGATTTATCAGCTTTAAATTATATCTTTTGGCTTCTGGCTCTAAAAGATGAAGAAATTAAGCATATTTTTTCTACCTCTCTCTTCTCCCAAGTTTTATTAATTGCATCACTTGTATATCTCCTAAAGTTATCATATATATATTTTGCTTTGTAATTATAAGCTTCAGAATTATTTTGGTCTTTGTCTATGAATAAAGATTCAATGCTTCTGGATAATTCTTTCAATGAATCATTTTGCTTTTCCATTCATCTCTTCTTTTTGGTGAAAGTCATACTCTAGGAGTTTATAGAGAAAACACTCATAAGAAAAATACATTGCAAATTACTTCTTTTCTCTTTTGAAATAGCTTATCTTTTAGACCAGTCATTTTCAAAAAGGCTGCGCTTTCAGGAATTAATTGTGAAGCTTTTTCAGGGTATAGCTATTAGTCTTCATTTCTTCTTTCAGACATTCTGGTATGTCCTTAAGGGCAGGAATAGAGGTAAGAGGGGGCAGAAAAGGCTGTGCAGTTTAGAAAAATCTAAAGATGATACTGTTTCAACCATCATTTGATAATATAATACCATTCTGGTCAAAGGAAGTATATTAGCATGATAATGGAAAACAAGTGTTCAACACTTCATTTTTCTCATCGTCCTATGCACTATGGTTTTTTTAAAAACTGTTAAAGTTATTTTCTTTGTCTTACTGCATAGAAAATCTGTGCATCTGTCACTTTCGTTACATTGAGAACAAACTACTCCTGGTTGATAAGGCTTTCTTCTTAAAGTTGCTCTACAAAAAAAGCAGAAAACATTTGGTTAGAAAATGTCTTACATTTTATGTTATTTATGTAATATAATTAACAATTTTTATTAGTTTATAAAGGTGATTTAATTAAGAAAAAGGATTCAAGGAAGTACTCCAATTGGAAATGCAATCTTTCCTTTCTCTCCCCTCCACAAAAAGTCTCTTTTGAAATGAATTCCGATATCCTTGAAAGAAAATATTGTAATTTAAAAATGAGTGAGTTTTAAAGCTTATTTTATCTTATTTGTAGCAAAGTTTTTCTTTAAAAAATGGATATTACAGAATGCTTTGTAATTAACTGCTTTCTTGTTGGCACACTTGTATAAGAAGTTGTATTAATTTTCTGAAGAGTTTGAAAAATCCTGAAATGTCTATTGTCTTAAAGACCTAGCTGCATGGATTACTTTGAAGTCTACATGAAAAATACATAAATATATAAACAAGTAAATAAATTTAAATGGAATTTTACCAAGTTGTTTTAACCCACTGTATAGACCAGAGGGGAGAATTGAGAAACTATTACATCAATTCCTCAAAGCTAAGTAAGAAAAAGGGGCCCCAAAGTAGATATGAATTGGGAAGCTTATATAAAAGATCTAGGATAGAAAAGATAGAGGAGATATGTAGGAAAATATATTTTTCAGTGAGGGGGGTCATTGATACTGATCATTAAATAGAATTGCTTATTTACTCAGTGTGTATTGGAAGCTATAAGAACAAACATTAGGCATATATGTCCCTAGAAGTTTTTTTAGACTCATATCTGGCCATACCTTCAGTATATTGCCACTATAGGACGTGGGTCCAAGTCCTAGATAAGGACATGTTGCCTGGCTGGCCGATTGGGTAACCTTACCTATGTCCAACCCAAAGTCCATTAGAAGACCATTATTTAAATTTTATAGTAGAACTATATTGTTACAGAAGGAGAACACAATTCTGGTGGTGATGGAAACTTTCATTGCTTACACTAGACCCATTTCTGCCACCACTTTATTCATGAAGGAGATAATTCAGCTCCATGGTTTGACAATCTAACAATTATAATTTGTAAGCAGATTCTTCTCTTCAAAGTTCTCCATGTACAGACTCACATATCTGTACAATGTCCATAGAACAATGGCAAGAGAAGATCAAACAGATGTTGATCTTTCCATTTCATAAAGCCAGAAGAGTTATACCACATACAATAACCACTTTCACCTTCACTCTTCCATATATCATTGAGAAATATCACAAAGCTGGCTTCTAGTTTACTGGTACACCTGGGCAGCTATAGGTTTCCCAAGAAGGTTTAAAGAATCTATCCCAGTAAGCTAGAGAAAAATACAATGCAATAAACAGCAAGAAAGATTATCTTTTAGAGATCCTATTTGGCCCTCCATATGATACACCTAATGCAGTGGTCGGGAAACTGCGGCTCGCGAGCCACATGCGGCTCTTTGATCCCTTGAGTGTGGCTCTTCCACAAAATACCACGTGCGGGCGCGCACGTACAGTGCGATTGAAACTTCGTGGCCCATGCGCAGAAGTCGGTTTTCGGCCTGGGCAAGTCTATTTTGAAGAAGTACTGTTGATATTTGGCTTTGTTGACTAATGAGTTTGCCTACCACTGACCTAATGTATTAACTGCCAAAACTCTATGACTACTTCCTAGACTCATTCAAGGTCAAGAAAAGCACGAATCCTGTTGTTTTCTGCCTCAAATTATCCCTTTATGTGCAAAGCTATGTTACTTTGTATCACTTTCTGTAAAACTAAGGTGGTCATATCTCCACTTCCACCGCTTGGAACTAAAGGACTAGGGGCCACAGTTAAACACTGACAAAGCTCCTTCGAGGGTGATATTATTTTGTTGTACCATCCTCTAATCATCCCAAGATACTATCTTCTTTCTGATCATGCCTCCTTCCTCATTTTGGCACCTGATTCACAATCTCCCTTTCAATCAAAATTGTGCCATTGTCTTAGAATTTGGGACCCAGATGATTACAATATGCTTATGGATGATTTGCCCAATAATTTGGTCTCTCTGTTACTGTAATTGGCATTTTGTAGCCACACTCTGGATCTTGTTATCCCCTAAAGCTACTCCACCTCTGAACTCACAAAATCACAAATTACACTCCCTGACTGCAACTCCTATCCTTCCAGAGTGCTCACTTATTTACTTGTCCATTAATTTCACTGGCACTGCAAGTCTATTTTCTCCCTAGCCACCTGGTTGTCTCTTCTCTATTTAGCTTAGGTCTCTTCATATTCTCATAATTGCATGTTCAGCTAAAAACCTGAAACTCTCTTGCACTATTTTTCTTTATAGACACCTGATTAAACCCAAGTCTAGAAGAGAAAAGAAAAATGAAGGTATCTTACTGTGTGAATGTTCCATATCTGCTTCAGGGCAACTGGGTGCTGCTGGAGCAAAATCATTAAATGAGGTAAGGAATATTTCTATGGTTCCCTACTCAGATTCCTCTCTCAGTTTCCACAATAACTATTTCAAACCTACCCAATCTTCTTCTTCTTCTTTTTATTTTTTATTATTGTTTAAAGTATTACAAATAGTAGTACATATGTCTCCTTTTTCTCCCATTGACCTTCCCAGGAGAAATTACGATATTTTTAGAGACAGCTCATTGTTAGTAAACCTTCCCTATGAGAAATGCTAAAGAGAATCTCTCTCCAGGTTCATCCATGCTGTTGCAAGTGGTAAGAATTCCTTCTTTGTTATAGCAGCATAGTATTCCATTGTGTAGATGTACCATAGTTTTCTAATCCACTCATCTGCTGATGGGCATTTAGGCTGTTTCCAAATCTTAGCTATTGTAAATTGTGCTGCTATGAACATAGGGGTGCATATATACTTTCTGATTGGTATTTCTGGTTTCTTGGGATATATTCCTAGACGTGGGATCATTGGGGTCAAATGGGACTTTCATTTTTAGTTTTTTGAGGAAACTCCATACTGTTCTCCATAGTGGCTGCACCAGTCTGCATTCCCACCAGCAGTGAAGGAGGCTTCCTTTTTCTCCGCATCCTCGCCAGCACTTGTCATTTGAATTTTTTGATGATAGCCATTCTGACAGCTGCGAGGTGGTACCTCATTGTTGTTTTGATTTGCATTTCTTCGATAATTAGTGACGTTGAGCATGTTTTCATATGACTCTTGGCCTTCCTTCTGTCTTCTTCCGAAAATTGTCTATTTAGGTCCTTTGCCCATTTTATGATTGGATTGTTTATCTTCCTTTTGTTAAGTTGTATGAGTGCTTTGTAAATATTCGACATTAAACCCTTATTGGAGATAACATTGGCAAATATGTTCTCCCATGCAGTGGGCTTTCTTGTTGTTTTGTTGATGGTTTCTTTTGTTGTGCAGGAGC